GAGTTTTTTTCGCAATATTTTCAAATTAGTTAGGGGGGTATTTGGGATCTTTCATATATGAGATGCAAATCTAACATCCTATATGATTTTAAGAATTGAAAATTTCAATTCAAAAAAACTCACATGTAAAAATAATTTACATGAGAATTTCATACATGTGTATATATATATATACATGCACGTTTATTCCTGCACAACATCCTGGGAATGGCTCGTATCGGCCTTGTTTCATTCTTAGTTTGACAATTTCACGAGCCTTTACTATTCATTCATAACAGATTATGTTTGAATGCTGGCTACATTGTACTGGCATAATGTGTTATTGCAAACTTTGCAAAATATGATCACTCAGTCTTGGTTATCTGGGATGTTACATTACATATACATTATTGTTATCTTGTTGTTGCCAGTAAGTAACAAACTATATAATTATTTCATTACAGAGTTATATTGCATAAATAAGAGAAAATTATATAATCCTAATATAAATCAAGTATAACAACTGTTACATTATATGTTACTCCCATGTTATGTAGCAGTTATATTTTGTGTTTGCTGGGCATATAATTCCCCTTTTCCCTCTGAATAAGTCGACCGAACCTCTTTAATTTTGGCCTTTTTGTTATAAATCGAAGATTACCGCTTATTATTATATCTTATTGTTTTTAATTAAGTTGATATATAATTTAAACTAAATATTAAAAAGTTTTTATTATATTATACAGAAGTAAATGGACCTATTACAATTATACCTGGATCTCCATACAGTTTGATAGTATTACTTCGTGGTGAACAAGATGAACAGAATAATACAAAGAGCAGAGCAATATATCAAAGACAGATATCTCCAGGAGGAGGTGGAATTATGTCCATGCAAGGAAATAGTGGACTGCCATTATGGCTAGTTCCGCTAAAACGATTACCTGTTATGATAGATTGCACTAGTATTGATATTGATAGATCTGGAAAGCCTGATTGTATTGTTGCTGGTGAACGAGGCTTACTTGTTAGCATAGAACCAATTGCTGGAACAATTCATTGGAGCTCTACAATTCATACATTTTCGAAATTACCAGTTATTTTACCAGACATCGATGCTGATGATATTGAAGACTTGTTAAGTGTATCCGATAATATAAATACATCCATTGTCATCTTGTCCGGAAAAACAGGCCAATTACTGAGACGTTATTCAACTATTAATTGTACTTCTATCAATATAGATACTCTTGTTTCTGTTGGCAAAATATTCTTCGATTGTTATAACGACAGTGGGAAATGTATGTAAATGTTTTCTAGGTTTAAATTTGTTTTATGCGTATGTAATTATTGATAATCATATTGCAGATGTAAGGAGATTTATAACGTTAAAAGGATTATTGCATAATGTGAAACTGCCACAAGTATATAAGAAATTTGTAGCAAGATCGGAAACATCTCCACGACTGTTTGAAACTCTAAAAATGTATACCAAAGTTTATAGTTGGAAGCCTACACCTTATCATCATCTGACCATAGAGAATGAAGGAGAATGTCCAGGAAAATATTGTCGTGCAACTGTGAATCTAACTTTGCAGAAAATAACGAACGAACCGATCATTATTTGGGATCACGTGAGTTCGAATATGTTTGCATCAAAACCGGAATTTTTAGTGACTTCGGGTAAGCCTTACAAGTTCGGGTTTATTATAAAATTCTGGCAATGGATAGATTCACTACCCGATCACGTAGAAAAAACTATAACGGAACAAAAACTCATAGAAAGCGTTTTGATTGTTACCGTTAACTATACGGATGTTCAAGCTATTAACGCAAGTCAAAGCGATGTAATACAATTGTGTCATGAGCTCATGTGTCAACCTGATTTAAATTCACGAAAGCAATTCAGTTCCATTGCGGTTAAATACATCAATAACGACGAAATTTTAGAATTGATAAGTTACTGGTCCTCTTATGACGCAGACCCAACGAAAGGATTGACATCGAAAATACAAGTTGTAAAGATGGATTCCATAATGTCTAATTTAGTACATGGAAATACATAAAACAATATTCATAGTTTCTTGTATTTAAGATCGTCTTAATAAGTTAAGTTTTTTTTAAGAGAATTGAACCATCCTATTTTATCGGCATTTCTTAATTTTTCACTCATTCTGCACTCATTGGTCAAAATAAAAAACGCTTCTTCAGAATAAAAGAGGACATGCTAAAGAAGTAAAAAAATATTCAAGAAAAACCAAACAACGTTTATGGACTGTTACGACATATTCTACCTCATAAAAGTGGCAATAGAAATCCAAAAGGTTATACTTTCCACTTCTAAAGACAAACAAATATTTTAAATGCTTCAAAAAGGGATTTTGAAGCTTGTAAGAAAAAGAAAATTAATAGAGTTTTAGCAGAAGCGCCGGAGAAACACATACGTCTATCCTTGTCTCTATACTGAGTTCAAATCAAGAAGAGAAACCGGATAGACTACACTTCTTCCGTTCCGCGCACCTCCTTTACCAGAAAGCTCCTTCTCCACTTCATAGCTATTAGCTGTTAGCGTCAGTGGGTGTTCTGCCAATCCTACACATAGTGAAGTACACTTTAAGGAAAAAGGAGTGTAAGCAGAGATGCCGGATCGTGCAGAACAGCAACAAAAGCATCGAAGCGGTGAAGGCAATAGTGATATAAGACTAGAGTGCGTGAGTCCTATGATAGCGCGTAAGTGGATGCGATAGAGGCTTAGAAAGAGAAAGATGCATATGGGTCTTCTTGTCTAATGCATGCGCAATGACATCAATGGTAGTAGAATTTCTTCACTCTTTTACCTATCATTATTATTACTTTTGTAAAAATATTATAATCAATTTATTTAACTTTCTATTTAGGAAGAAAACAGTTATAAAACAGTTATTTGTACTAAACGTAAAATGGGGACTGCGTCTGCCCAGCACTATCAGCGTTGGCTACCGATTAGATAAGGACAGAAAGGGCCTTTATGCATCTTTCTCTTTCTAAGCTTCTATCACTTTTTGAGTTCGCTTTCGCACTCTATCTCTTATATCTCTACACAGTTTGTCCGGAAAGTTCCCGGACTGATTTTTTCTAGCGCGGGTAAGCGGCGCTATCGAGCGGTCAACGCTGGAACTACTTAGTATAGAC